TTACTAACGAGTACTGGATCCATAAATTTAATGACAATGTGTTTAAGCTATGATTTTTTTCCCTGAAATTTATAATTGATGCTAAAAATAAGCTTAAAAGCTCTCCAAGCAATGTATCTGTTGTCAAGAAAACTACAATAGAATGCTAACCGGAATCATCTAAATATACCAACCTTAGTAGCCAATTGATCACATCCTATGTTAAGTTATATTTTATTTCAGGAGAAATAATGATTATTAATTTATGTAACTGTCTAAGAATTCTGGTCAAATTCCCAAGTGGAACATTCCGGCAGGATGACTTTCAAAGAATGAAAGTCCCATTCTTTGATCTTCAACACATGGAATATAGAAAGGTTTTCCTATCTCTAACCTCTTAAATATGTGATTAGCTAAAGTGTGACACAACAAATTCTTAATCACAGGAGGGATAAGTGGAGCCCATTGGATTCAGTCACTGAAGTACACAAGTATTTAACCAAAGGCTATTTATAGTTCACACATGGCGCAAATGCATGTTGTGATCCCAAGGTGTGGTAAGCAGAGGACAGTGGTGACCTAGACAATGTGAATGGCTGTGATCCCCAAGTGTGGTAAGCAGAGGAGAGTGGTGACCTAGACAATGTGAATGGCTGTGATCCCAAGGTGTGGTAAGTAGAGGAGAGTGGTGACCTAGACATTATGAATGGCTGTGATCCCAAGGTGTGGTGAGCAGACAATATGAATGCTTCAGTATTCACTTGTGAACAATAACTTTAGAAGAATGGTCCATGGAAATGGAATCCTAATGCCTCACTTCCAGATATATAGCTTGCAAATTACTTGAATTTAAAAAAACAAACAAAAAACTTCTTCCTATGACTTCATAACTTCTTAAAGACTCCAGAAAATATATCAGGACATTTTCTTAATGAGTTGGAAAACCCTGAATTCAAACCTGATGTAATTAACAAGTAGAGCTTTACTGTTTTATGATACTATTAAATTCATATCACTATTGGATATGTTTCAGTTAAGCCTATACCCATAGTCTCAAATGAAGATAGTCTAATGCTTCCTGTCTTAATATTGACTAAGTTCCCCTTCTTATTGGCATGACCCACACACAAACCATTCTTTACTGTTGAAAACCTCCTAGCAACTTTGCTTCTCCTGAAGAATAAAAGAAAAAAATTAAGTCCTCAGGAATATTCTCAAAGACATCTTTTATTGGCCTTATTTGGTCAAGTGTCCTTCTCTTGAGTCATAAAATTGTTCCTTTAGAACAATTCTGGGCTTGTAAACCAAACAAGAAATTGAAAAGAAAAACCCATTATGTTGTAGTATATAAAATACCTAGAAAAGTATTTAGCATAGAATATGTTCTAAATATACATTTGTAAAAAAAATCATATATTTTAAACTTTTATTATGCTTGCTTTTAGTCATGCTTTCTAGGACCACACATAAAAGATGAGAACATTGAACACAAGGCAAATTCTAGTTTAATTTTTGAGTTTGGTATAACTCAAAGCTTAGACTCTGTTCTGTGTTTCAGAGAAAGCCAATGACTTTCCTTCCCCTGGGGCCTGAATGCAACCTAAATTTATAATAATCTTGTGACAAAAAATTTTTTGTGGATTATCATAACAACAACAGATTATTGTTTGGGTCCATTATGCTGGTAATTGATCTAGAAACCCAACACAAACATTTATTTCCAAGTTCCACAATTAAACAAAATAGTTTTCACCCAAACTCTTCCCACCAAAAATTAAGTAATAATTACTATGTGAATTTTAATCTTAACTAGAATGTATCTTTCATCAATAATTAATGGAAAGAAAGGTGTGGAGGATCTCCAAGGAGTTGGGGGGAGGAAACCCTGTAATGAGAATATATTATATGAAAACAAAAATATTTTCAATAAAGAAGAATTTAGCAAATTCAGAAATGAATAAGTAATCAAAACCAGATATACTGGCATCTATAGCTCTTCTTTGAATATGTTTATTGTTTATCACATCATAATGCCTATAACTTCATAAAGAATTGTGACCCCATGCCTTTAGTGCTTTTAGTAAGTGTCTTTTCCTGACAGAGCCACAGGGAGATAGCTAGGATAACAAACAATTCTGAGTGTGAATCCTTTCTAGTTGAGAAGGTCTTAAGTCCAATTAGACTGCTTCTGCTTACTCCTAAGACCTAAGTACCATTCTTGTACCCTTGTGAGCTCTTTGTCATGCTGGTCATGGTTGTGGTTCATAGACTTTGGAGCTGGATACAATTGTTGACAGTTTTTCTCTTGCATAACATCTTTGGACACTTTAGGAGCTATTCCTCAGGGAAGAGACTTCCAAGTCACTTCCAATTCAAATCTCCCAAGTTGTGTGTCCAAAGTACATGATGTCTTCAATAATCAGGTCTTACTTTTAAGGTCGTGAAGGCAACCAGGGAAAATGACAATATTCTATATCGTTTTAGGGATTCCCATGCCTGATCTAGGGTTTTTGTTAGACTGCTACCCTTGTGGGGGGACAACATACGTTATAACCACAATCACTAATTTCACTTAAAGTAATATATATGTGTATCTATGTACAATACACATATCTGTGTCTATATTTTTAATTAAAGTAATATGATTCCCTATGGCATTATCAAGCATTGTTATTGTACTTTTCCATTCTCCCTCCCTCTCCTTCTGTAGTTCCCTCCTTCTGTTCTCCAGATAGAGTCCACACCCAATTTTTTCTGATTTTCACTCTATAATTCCTGTACCCCACCATTATCTTCTCTAGACTTAACTGCATGAGAGAAGGTGAGGTGGAAATCATATAAAACAGTACTCATGTATTCTCAAGGAATATATTAAAAGAAGAAAAAGCAAAAATTTTATTTGACCCAGAAAAAAAAAAAAGAAAATTCTAAAGGCAAGAAAACTGATATATTACCAATCATTTAAGATGTTATTTTGGAGTCTTTTATGTTGAGATTGGCATCTGACTTGTATTTCTGAGTCCATTTATTGTGCTATTTTATTAGGCCTTCAAATTAAGAAACTATCAGGTGACACATTTTATTATGGGTGAGTGTTATCTTCATAAAACAAAGATGTGAGAATGAAGGAATATATATTTAAAAAAACTAAATTTCATATCTGGAAATAAAACCCTACATATTGTGTGGTAGTTTTCTCCTAGTAAAGCAGGAGGGATTTAGGCCTGTTGAGCTGATGACGACAGCTTTAGTGAATGGAAGTGTTTCTTAGCCCCAAAGAATCTAGGCTGCTGAGTAGCTGCTGTGTAGGGAATTATTTATAATAGCATTTACTGGTAAGTGCCTTAGACAGGCACTTAGATGTGACTAAGGGAGGTTTATTTCTGATTCCAAAGCACTGGAGTGGAAGTCATGCCGTGACTCAGAGCATTGTGATGGTCCAGCTGTCCACAGGCTCATCTCCAGTGTGTGCTCAGACACCACCATGACAGACAGAAGACTCACCAGAACACAATTTCAGTGAGTTCACTTGCTTGACACAGTTTCCACATCAGTGGCAGAGAAGACCATGTGGTCACTATGGCTTCAATAGCAGTTTGCACCATGTCCCAAAGGGCTCATGTATTCACCCTCCATGTCTGCATTGTCTTAGAAATATTTGGTGAAAGGCAGACTATTTAGATAAGATACACAGCATGAAAATGACAAGTCACACTTATCAGTGTGCCACCTCACAGATATAATCTTTTCTTCAGCCAGGGCTACTGTTGTGTATGTCTTGTTACTTTGAAACCTGAAATGAGCAGACCCTAAGTCTGGTGATATAAACATATATTGGAATATTTTATATTAGTGCATTTTTTTCACTTAAATGCTCAACTGTTAGAAAGGAAATATTTCCAAAAGAAAATAAAAGGAAATAGGATTTATGAAACAAAACTATGTACATCATTTTTCCAAGTAATTGATTCTATTTCACTTTTAAACTGTCATTTATATGTGAGAATACATAAGACTACCCCTATATGCATAAGATGCCCATATATCATATTTCATTCCCCAATGGATCATAGTTATCCTAGATTGTAGGTCTAGAAAGTACATTGTAGGTTGATCATAACTGACCTATGATTTAGTTTGTTCGGTTTTGCAGGTTTTGCAAAACACGATTGTTTAGCAATTTTTTTTTTTTTGTGTGTGTGTGTGTGTACCATCCCCTTCCCCCAGGATGCCCTCTCATTTTCGGTCAGAATTCGGCTCTTCTTGTGCATTCAGCCATGATGCTTTGTCTTTTATCTATCTGAGTTCTTGCATTTCTCCTCTAAACCATGCTGCACAAGTCATGTTAGTTCTTCTTGATCTCCTCAGCATATCAGAAACAGCTGATAGGTGTTTTAAAGTGTTACACTGACAGGTTAAGTCTATTAATAGATGTTCAGACAGTATATATATGTGTGTGTGTGTGTGTGTGTGTGTGTGTGTGTGTGTGTGTGTGTGTGTGTGTGTGTTCATGAGCAACGGATTTAAACCCTTGAGCTACAACAGTTAACTTCTCTTCAGTATTCTGTATATTTTTTTACATGAACCATGCATATACAATACACAAAACTTTTCATTTTCTTCTTTAAATTACATTTATTTATTTAGTATATGTGGGTTCGTGCGAGCACGCGAGCATGCATGCATGCGCACTCTTACCACATGTGTGGAATTCAGAGAACAAACAGAAGTGGGTTCGAGTGCTGGAACTCAGTTCTCCAGGCTTGGTGCCAGGAGCCTTTATGAGACACCTCACTGCCCTCCAGTTGTTCTTGATAATTAGATACCAAAAAAGGAAACCATCGGCATTATTTATTTCAATACTTGACTCCTGAAACCCAGACAGAAAGTGGGTGTATCATTTTATATGGAGAATGGAAAGTCAGGAGGCTTGCGAAACGTGATTTGGTTGCTTCCATGGAATATTGTCAGACCAATAGGAGCTGGTGAAGAACTTTTATGGACAGTATAAATAATTTGAGCTGTAGACATCGTTACCAGTTGATATTTTCTTTCCTGAGGACCAGCTGTTCAAGAGCACCTAGGAACAGAGCCAGGCACAGTTGAGACTCGGCTGGCACTTAGCACCGTGGCAGATTCCTCTGCAACAATGTCGGTGTTAGAAGAAAGCCGGCCGTTTGCTCAACAGCTATCCAATGTCTATTTTACGATACTATCCCTTTTCTGTTTTAAACTTTTTGTGAAAATCAGCCTTGCCATCCTTAGTCATTTCTACATCGTGAAAGGCAACAGAAAGGAGGCCGCCAGGATAGCAGCTGAATTTTATGGAGTAACCCAAGGACAAGGTACGTTTATGATAGCAGGCTCCTATTTCAAGTTAAGTTGAACTATCATTTGATCTACAATCCAAGAAAACATCACAGGTTCTCTTTATGGAACATTTTGTAGACTTTAGTGGAAGGACGTTCTTGTAACTTGCTTCATTGGCTTCATGAAAAAGAAAGTTATTTTTCAGTGTAAATGTTTGGGCAATGTGGAAATACAGCATTTATTGTAGATATCCTTGCCTAGTTGTAATCAGTAAAAAACTTTCAACATATCATTTTCCACATTACTGTTTCATAACATTATGAAAAGACAACTAATTTTACTTCAACTGTCCTGTAAGATTAAATTTAGCATTATAATATTTTAAAGGATATATTGAAGTCATATATGAAAGTGTCCAGTCAAGCCTGGTGGTACAACAAACATGTAATCCCAGCAACTCAGGTGTCAGAGGCAGGAAGATTGTAAACTCGGGGCCTTCCTGGGCTTCAGTTTGTTCAAGATCAGCCAAGGTAGTTTGCTGTGATCCTGTCTCACCATGAGAACTGAAAGGAAAGCTGAGGCTAGCTCAGTAGGAAAGGTCCCTAGCATGTGAAAGGCCATAGGGCCAGTCCTCAGCCCTGAACAATTAAAGTAAAATGAAATAACTGTTATTAAAAGTAGAGGACTTCAGAATTGATTTTTGTGCAGTTTTATAATTTTATTGTGAGATGAAACACAGAAATCAGTATTTATGGCACATATTTTCCTAAAGGGATTGATGCTTTGCTTGGATTGTGGAAATTGTTTATTACAGGATAGGTTCATGAATAAGCAAATTTGATGTTTGTGCAACCAGGCTCATCCATGCTTTTTGGAAGAAACTGAAATATGAGAGGAAATAAAGAACAGTACTACCACTCATAGATTTTAAATTTTACAGGAGCATTGTTTGCTGGTGGAGCAATATTCTGGATAGTAAAAAATGATGTGTGTGTTGGTTGAAAAAGTGACATTTTAATTTCTTATAATCTTTCTTTTTACTTCTGATTTGGAATTAACCAAGCCAACATTATGTACATACCCTGATACCCTCTCGGGCAATTTAAATACTCATAGTCAAAACTTAGCAGCATTTTAAAGAGCCCTTTAAGCTTTTTGTGTTGAAACTCATTTTCCTATATATTTTAATTTTTTATGTAATTTGTTTTAAAAATCTATGCTACTGTTGGTGTGTAGGAATGTTGAATAAAGGTGGTGAGTCTCCAGTGGTTTGTAAAGAAGATACTATTGTCCCCTAAGGAAAGTTGCTCTTGTGTAAACTGAGGAACTCATCTACAAACTCTGACGAAAATCTAAGTGCCCCAGGAAGTTCTCATAGAGAAAGTAAAACCTAGGCCAAATACACAGCAACCCTTTACCTCCCAGAACTAATGTTGATCTAGCATTTCAAAGTAGCATCTTTATGATCCATGGAAAATGAAAATGTTATCTGGTAAACAGAGTATTTGAATACTAAATGCAAACATATAAATAGCCTTTAAAACCTGTCGTATTTCTAGATGTGGCTAAGTAAATTATGAGATTATAAGGTGGTAAAATTTATCTTCATGGAAACCTTATAACTCATTATTTCAGAGTAATGCTTTAATCTCCATTTTATGAGAATGCTCATATACAAAGCAGTGAAATGTTGGGTAAAGGAAGAAAGATGTTTCTGCCTTCACAAAGGTGATAGAGGAGACCGTGAAAACATCTTTCTATGCATTTTGGTAAATACAGGAATCAGCCATCCCCTTTTAGGTCATGGTGTTCTCATTCAGGCAATTCCTGGGCATATATAAAATGACTCGGGTCTTTTATTGCCATTATAGTTCTCTAAAATATATTAGAATTGTAGGATTTTTACCAGGTAGTAAAAACACATTACAAAGTTTTTTGTTTTGTTTTGTTTTTTTTAAAGCATACTGTGTTTATAACATTCACTGTGTTTAACACAACTCCTTTCAACCACCATATATTATGCATTATATATTTAACACCGGGACACTTAATTGTAATTACTACTCAGGGTGAGCATAATTGTGTCCAATATTATTTTAACATTAGGAAAATCAATCAAATGCCTTGGGAAAAAATCTTACTCTCCTCTTAAGAGAAAATTATGCCTTGCCCAGGAAAATATTGCTTCTCTATTTTATATAGCTTTTTAAAAATTTTAAATCATAATATACTATTTCTGATTTGCATATTTCATGTTGACCACTCAGGTTTAATTATTGTTGCATAATCAAGCAATTTTCTTCTCCTTTGCTAAGATTATCATTGTCATCCACATTGAATTAGGTTCCGTTCCCACTTCCAGGGCTTACTTAGCCCAATTAATTGCTCCCTAGAATTTCTGGAGTGCAGTTGTCAAATCCATGAAGTAAGGCCGATGTGTGTGTATATTTCATGTCTTAAGAGCAGTGGAAACCTTATTGACAGCATTTTCAGTGTTTTCCCAAGAGCCATAGCACTTCATTAAGAAATAAAAGAACCCCTTTGCTTACCTAATGGTTGTTTCAAGGTAGCTCATTGTGGTAGGCAAGTGTAGACTGTGTTGTTGTTACTGCTGTTATCATCAGTTGGTAAGCCCTGTTCAATCAGGTTTGTGATGAAAGTCTGATTACAAAACAGAAACCCGATAAACTAGCTTAAGATGTTTCCTTCCTGATCCCTGAACAACTCCAGTAAATTTCATAATGCTGCCTTTTCATGTCTGAAGACTTCTTGACACTACATCATACCAATTAGCTTCTCTAATTTTCATATACATTTGTTTTTAATTAGTTTTTATTTAAATTAAAAATGATCTTATTTTACATACCAATCCTAATTCCTCTCCCTCCCATCCTCCCATTCTTGCCACCATTTTCCCATTCCACCCCCATCTGCTAGGGGCAGGACCTAGGCCCTCCCCCATGTGTTTAGACTAAGAGAGTATCCTCCATAGGGAATGGGTTCCCAAATCCCATTTGTGCATTTTTGCTCTAGGGATAAATACTGGTTCCACTGGAACAAGCATAAGGCCAAACAAGGCCCCTTGAACATGGGTGTCAGTTGGGGTATCATTGCTGCAGTTAAATGATTAGAGCCTGTTTTCCATGGGATAACTTCAATTATAAATTTGCACTATACATGGAGATTGACTGTGAGACTAGCAAGAACTGGAATGTACTTCCACCTGTAATATTAAATGGTGAAGAAAAATATAATGCCGGAGTACATCATAATTTATGAAATCATTCCAAAGTCCCAGGAAAAGACATTAAATACCAATAAATACCCCAAGACATGTCAAGAGCTCACTCATGTTAAGGGCAATATTTTTCAAGTTCAATCTTAGGCTATATGAATTACAGCAATTTTACCTTTAAGCAAATGGAGCCAGTCCTAAACATCTGTTTCTTGAGTCTCCTTGACAGTAAGAAAATGTATTGTTCTTTGGCATAAGTACTTTTACATGGAATGCTGAAAAATTATTTTCAGATACACTAATGGAAGTGAAGCTAAACAATTAAAAAGTGTCTTTTCACATTTGGACTGTCACAGAGATACTTTCCCAGAAGAGGCAGATGTTGTCTTGCTCTCAGGAGTGCCCAAAGGATGGATTTCAGTAAGCACAAGAGAGCAAATAGCATTTAATAAAGTAAAGAACATATGAACTAGAAAAACAAAAATTAGACCCAGATATGAAAGAATTTGAATATGAGACAAATAATTTCAGTTTTTGAACATACTAGGAGTCATGACTGTTGGAGTATATATAGAGTTGGGAAGATTAAAAAATAAAGTAAATAAAAACAATTTATTATAGACTTACATAGTAGTAATTGAAGTTGCCCAGCAGGACATGTTTGGAGTAAGTAGACCAGTTGGGACCTTGCCAGAAGTATATGAGAAGCTACTTAAATTTATACCTGTATTTGTGTTTGTGCCTGTGTCTGTATCTCTGTGAAAATATCACAGTGAAACACCTTTTTTGTTTTCTTGTACGCCAAGTAAAAACTTCATTTTAAAAATGAAGACTGTGTTTAGTCTAATAGTGATTATATGACTGGAAAAGAAATAATAACAGAAACAAAAAGGAATAATCTAAGAATGAATCTGTGATGCCTTTGAAGAACAATGGCATAGAGAACATTTATGACTTTAGACTAAGTAGGTATCTCAGAATTATATATTAGCCTGTCGATCAGAGTGGGAATTAACCAGCCACACAGGCCAATAGGCATGTCATAAAGGGGACCCTTAGCTGCCTTGTGAATCTGGTAAGCCACCTAACTTCACTCTGAAATGTCAAGAGAAATCAGGACATATCAAAGCTAGACTCTGGTTCTGTTTTTCACCCAAACCCTCTACACTTATTTTAAAAATCACCAATTAGTTTTTTGGTTATGATTTGGTCCCTGTTTTCCCAGGGCTTGTCTGGCTTTCCCATCAGAGTGTTTTAGACTATCTTGAGATTGTACCACTTACCATGAAATAGTGTATTTATCTCTTGATATCAGTGTTTTTTATTTTGAGCTTTTGCTGTTGCAAACTCATCTTTGAAGAATTCGTTTGTTTCAAAACATATTAGATTTCTGATCCTTGAAGGCCATGAACAAAATTTTTGACTGTGGGAAATATCTCAAAATAATATGCCCCTGTGAATCTGTGAGCTGACTTTAGAAATTATCTGGTGACACAGGGAAGTCCTTTTGTGGTGGAGACTCTGAGGAATTTAAGATACATGCAGATTTATCTCTGTGATTCTGATTTCATACATTTCTAAACTGAAGTCTGGCAGCATGGTTATTGTCATACATGCATTTCTTGTCATACATGTGGTTGAAACTTGAAAGTAGGATATAATATAATGTGCCAGCTCCAGATAAATATCAAAATATGTTGTCATTTTACAGACTAGTACAATCAAGGAATAAAAAGAAGCTAGAATTCTAATTATACATGGTGTTTATTACTTTTGTGGTGCTAGGACTGAAGCCAACAT